CCCCCCCCCCAAAAAAAAATCCTAGCAGCGCTCATGCTCACTGGCCACGGTTTCAAATTCACATCTTTCATATATCTGCTTATTACTGATTCGACAGATCTGATTATAGGTCCTGTGGCAATGAAATTTGAGGTGCTATCCAGGCATCTGAGTGGAGGGACTGAGGAAAAACAAGAAAACTTCAGTCAGGATAGCCCGTATCCAACCCATAGGAAGCAGGACAGTTGTCCACCCGACCGCAAGGTTGGGTGTGCCCTTCCGTACAGATTTCACGAGAATAATTCTACGTGTAACAATTGTGACACTCGGTGCGTAATCATCAAGTAAAAGAAGACGCGGTGGACAGGACGTATAGCACGCATGAGAGACATGTGCAATGGTTGTGAAGTGAAGATGGAATGTTACTATTAAAATGTATTATAGAGAAACAGGGCGTAGGTGTGTGGGCTGGATTCAAATGACGCGGGATATACAAATTTAAGTTGCCTGATGTAAATTGCGCTAAATGAGGGATACGCTACCTCNTTCGGATGGAATGCGAGAGTTGAACGTGCATTCAATATTCCTAGCAAGTGTTGTGCTTTTACACATCGACAATTGTAGCAGCGTCCACGCAGCATATATACTGTGTACATTTAAACAACGCCAGTGTTTTCATGTGTTTGTAATATGTGCCTCTGTTGATGGTTTTATTAAACCGAAACATGTAAGGCAAATGTGATAAAGAAGTGACCTAAAAACATTGTTACACTCGACGGACTTTCTATTGACTAGGTGTACTATAAATTTCTCCTTACTAAAGTATCCAATATAAATTTATCCCTGTAGCAGGCCGTGGAGGCCCGTAGGGCTGCGAGACGTTGAGAGTCCCACATTATCTAGACAATCGGCTCACAGATGGCGGTAAGGTTGTCAGCCTTACACGCCGGCCTCCCTTTAGCCCCCAGGAATATTCCTGGTACTCATTTCTGTTAGAGGCTGAGTCGACCCCAGGGCCATACTGCGGCTGGAAGGATTATTTCAATTGAAAAAAATCCAACGCATCGGGACTCGAACTCGCGACCTTCCGGCTTGTAGAACAGTGCCGCCAGAGAAATGAATTCAATGAGTGGGGACTTTATCGAGCGAGTTCGTGGGTGAATAGGAAGTGAGAGGGAGATTAGGGACGAGTAATTAAGCAAGCGACTGAGACTGAGAGTGAGTGTTTGAACGAATGCACTCGTGACTGAGTAAGCAAGGGAGCGAATGAGTGGTCGAGTCGATTGAGCGAAGGAGTGAATGAATGGTTTGGCAAGCAAATGAGCTGGTGAATATGTGACGGAGTGAGCGAATGAAATGATTGAGCGACAGAATAAGAACGACAAAGGCAACAACTTGGTCTGTTATGCGTAACTATTATAAAAATTGTAGAAATGACACGTACACATATAAAGGTAAAGCTTTCCTGTGCTTAATTGGTTAGTCACTATGCCATGAAGACGTACAGGGGATGGCCGTCTTGTAGTGCACTCAATTTCATATGTCGCTTCTTACTACATTACAACGCTCGCAGCCAAAAAGGAAGGACACTTCACAGACACAGTACACACAGAAACGACTCCCATAGTGGACGAACCATACTATACGGATACGCGAGTTTGAATTAAGACATATAGATGAATAATCTTAACAAGATTTAGTATATACAAATTTTATTATAGTTGACGAATAATGTACTTTCTAAATAATTTTATGAAAGATGGCAAACAATGTAACAGCTTAGCGTAAATAACGAACCTGAAGATGGCACTATGTTTCCGAAACATGTAGTAAGAAGCGACATATGAAATTGAGTGCACTACAAGACGGTCATTACATATGTATCATGGATGAAAATCAGTGCAACAGGACGCTAAAATACAACATTACGTATAGGGGAGTGTAGGTATAGCTCCTCGTATTCTTAACTTCGGCACAAGATGGGGTTGAATAACCTGTGTCACACACCGGCCACTCTACAACCGTGAAAAAGAAATATTGTGCCCATTGGACAGGAGGCTGGGTGAGCCTCAGAGCCAGTATGAGCCATGTGGAAAAAGGAAGCCCTGTACTGCCATTTCCGATAATAGAACCTCGATTTCTCGGCGTCGATCCCGTAACCAACTGCTATATCGACTGATCTATCGCGGTTCCCTATGCGTTTAAGATCTTTTAGACGCGAAATCAATCTCCAATCGGATGAAAAACCTACCTGAGACTTCTAATTAATTAACATGTTCTTTTCATCACTGATCAAATTAAAAAGGGTGTTAGGAACAAGGTACGTAGCACGTATGCGAGGGTTAATAAACGAACGCAAAATTTTAGTGGGAAAATCTAAAGGAAAGGGACCTCTTGAGAGATCTAGGCATAGATGCAAGTACAATATTAAACTGGATCTTAAAAAGTATGATATGTAAGCGTGAGCTACTTTCTTCTGGTTCGAGAATGGGTTTAAACGTTGGTTCTTTCGAACACAATAATTCGCCTTTGAGTTTCATAAAGTATGGGGAATTTATTGACTAGCTTAGCGACTATAAGCTTGTGAAGAAGTACTCTGCACCATGGAGTAGGTTAATCTGAGTCCGATGGCTTGGAGTCTGCTTGCTAACAGCCCCTGTACCGCGTTGTGTCAATGAAAGCCCCTGGTTCTGACGCTTCCTACTCTGTAGTACATAGTTAAACTATCACCCTATGCAAACAAATATATCAGTTTACCTACTCACACTTTCAGAGGGTCCCTCTTGAAACGGGAGGTATTTCCCCTAGAGTGAAGGCGTAATATTAACTAATCAACACACTTACTTGTTGGAACATATGGCCCACCCAAGTGGTCTGGACCTAGACACGGAATTGTGTGTGCGTCTCTCTCGACTGAAAAGCAACTTCTCTGAGTCGGAGGACACCCTAATATAGTTGCAGAATATGACGATTAGAGTTAGCTGGCAGGGTAAACATGCAAAGGAGTAAAGCAACGTCAACGAATGCATGTCATAGTCACGGGCCCATTTTATTTTAATTTGCTCTCATTTTTATGTAAGTTTTGAAGTTCTATAGTTCTACCTTTGTGCCTTCGATGGTTTAAAACAATTTTTATTATTTATTTAAACTTCAAGTGGGTTTTATACCTGTGGCAGCGGTACTTCAATAAGACACAACACACAAATGACACACATCACACAAAATAACACACCACACTTATACAAAACTATAATTTCTTTCCCCTGCCAGGAATCGAACCCTGGTCATTCAGACCGTTGCATGTCGCTATATATGTACTTCAGTACAGCCTGGATATTAAGAGCTGGAAAATAAACTCTTCTCCCAACTATTTCTTATTTGTCTAACTCAAGAACCGTTTGTCTTCTCGTCTGCTGTCCAAAAACATAAAAATTAGAATATACAAAACTATAATTTTGCCTGTGGTTCTGTATGGGTGTGAAACTTGGTCTCTGACATTAAGGGAGGAACATAGACTGAAGGTGTTTGAGAACAGGGTGTTGAAGAGAATATTTGGACTGAAGAGAGATGAAGTGACAGAAGGTTGGAGAAAACTGCATAATGAGGAGCTTCATAACTTGTACTCTTCTCCAAGTATAATTAGAATGATCAAGTCAAG